ACACTGGCCACCCTCAGGGTTCGCCAAGCGGTGCTCAGGATCGCACAGCCACTGCACAGGATGGCTTAGTCATGACTCATGTTAAATGGCGAGTTGCTCAGGTCCAGAAACGGAAATAGACTTTAGAGAGGTCAGTTTTGGCCATAGTATATACGGCTAAACTTGTCAAGGTGACCACTGCCAGAATGGGAACAAGATAATGGCCCGTCCATGGGAATTACAGCACAGATCCACATTGACAACATTCTAAAGCTCTCACAGGGCGCCAGAATAAATCGATTCCCTAAATTATCTACTAAAGAGTGTACGAAATGGTCCTGGCACTGAAGATGAAAGGGAAACAAAGACGATGTGTATTACTAATAGAATAGTATAAACAAATTAAATCCTTTAACTCCGCCTTCTCTTTCTCCTTCTAGATAATTTAGTGACATACTACCCTCAAATTCGAATTTTTAGGCTTTAGCTTTCGCCCCTTTTAAGCTCTCTTAGGCTGCCTTTAACCTTCTCGTCTAGTAATCTCATTATCTTCTATTTTAATGTTTTCATCGTTGCTAGAAGAAGATATTGACTCCCTTTTAACGATAAGTAAGACGATTAAATTATTACATGTCGAGCTTCCTTACACGTGAGGTGTACCGGTAGTAAGACCCGTTGGTTTACTTGGCAGATGGGGAGGTATAGGTATGGAGCAGGCTGTGAAGGCTGATTGGCTGATCACTTACACTCTATGATGGGTTGAACCCAGGAGAAGGCTTAGTTCTGGCGAACCAGCGCTAAGACCGACGCTAGGAAACTATACCTTCTAATTAGGTGTATTCGCCTATATAATATACAGGCGAAATGCTACCTCCTAATTAGTCAAGACGTACGCGGTATAAGAGATATAAAATCCTAATAGCTAAGACACTATACGTAAGGGAAGATAAGGAGTTAGAATAAGTACGTAAGGGAAGGTAAGGAGTTAGAATAAATACGTAAGGAAGGAGTAAGAAGGTAAGGATACTAGTTATCTCCTTACGATACGTTAGAGGATATAAGAAGAAAGGAAGGATAGCTATTCCTTCCTTTCTTACTCCTTAGATTTATCCTCCTTATTACTAGGTTAGTTAGCTAGTTATAGAACTCTTTCTAAACTCTTATATTAGGATAAATCTTCTATTTCTTATACCTCCTCCGTATATATTAATAATAGAAATAGATTTATTATCTATATTAAGTCTAACTCTACCCCTAGAGTAGATAGCGTAGTTATATTAGATAGTTTAGATATAGAACTAGTAAATAGAAGGTCTAGAGTAGCTACTCTAGAATTAGTAGAATAGTAGGAGTATCTCTACTCTTAAGTTAATACTATAGGAGAATAGTAATATATAGGAACTAATAACTATACGCGAATTATTAGATTAGAAATATTAGAAACTCCCTAAACTCCCTAAGTTTAGCGGAAAGTAGATAGAATTTTAACTATAGCTTACGTAGATAAAGGTGAAGCTTAGTATTAATAAGGATAAGGATACTAAGATCGTACGATTTTAGTATATATATAGTAGACTATGAGGAGAAGCTCTTACATAAGTTAGCGCCTAAGTAGACGTAGTTACTTTAATAGACTAGATGATAATTTAAGGCCTTTTTATATAACTATAGGTAGCGTATAAAGACTGTAAAGTCACTAAGTGAGCATCTTAGAAGCTTAGCTTTATACGGTAAGGGATAAAGATATTCAGTACGTTCCTCGCTAAATTTGACCGTATAATACTAGACGCTAGCGGTCTTAGCTAGGATGACTAGGTTAAGAAGACCTTCCTAGTTAACTATCTATTATATAAGCTATAGAATACGATTATAGTAACTCCTATCTCTAGGTCCTATAAGGAGTACTATATATTACTTTATACTGTTAGTACTAACCTAGAGAACCTCTAACGTAAGAAGGGACGGGATAAGCCCCGTACGATAAAGGGCTCGTCGACACTAATTAAGGTTACCGACAGCGTTGATCAAGATATCTTTTGCAGCTCCCAGGTTGAGAATACAATGCGCGGTGAGGCCAACAAATATTTGCCGGGCAGAAAGTGCATAGTCGGGCGGCAAGAGCTCGGCATCATCTCTATTGAGAAGCGCCATAACGCCAAAGAGTTTGTCTCGGATATCAGAAGACTTGGCAGACCAAGTCATTTCCATGACCCCCAAGAACCTATCGGCGTGGGAAGACTGCTGTGCTAGGTAATTTTGAAGCCATCCTACTGGCCGATGGCCGTGACGCCACTCGAGCCGTTGTGCTGTGGCCCTATCCACCCAGTACTCAACTCCCCGGAAGGGGAACACGATTTGGCGTGGAAGCACGAGTCCTTGGATTATCCAGACGCGAGTGAAGTATCGGCACTTGAGAAATGCTTCGATCGCCTCGTCCCTAGCCAAATTTTCGAAGCCTTGGCGGCTTGGAAAGTTCCCGGACGGTCCTTGGACCAGTTCTTCGCCGAGATACGCGACAACTTGGGTGCATCCACTATAGATGGTCGACATCTTGGGAATCTGGCTCGCCTTTTTGGCGCTGTTGAGCTGATTTATACACAGCGCATCGACCCATAGCATCCGTGGGGTATTTGACCGGGGCGCGTACCGTAGTAGAGAGGCACAGTTCTTGGTGTGGAGAAGGACATCCCAGAAAGACCCGATATATATGGGCGTACACGGAGTGGTGTTATCCGCTTCCCCTCCCCAGGTATACGAAGCTGCTTCGTACTCAGGGCAGTCATCATCTGGATATGTGTCGAGACTGATGTGAATGGGAGCATCCCCGTCTGGAGATGGATGTAGACATAGGAGTCGAAATTCGGACTTTTGGAGGGTTTGGCAATAGATAGTAGCCAATCCATTCCCCTGGGACTCGGCAGGCCGAGATGGGACAGGCCCAGAAGAGGGAATATTACTCCCACTCGCGGCACCGTCGTAGGTCGAACACTCCACGGAAGGTGACCATTTCAGGCGCAGCTCCTCCAGTGGCTCGTTCGACGGGATGGAGGGGATTGAAGTCGTGTTTGTTTGGTGGGGGACAAGTGCCTCCGCTGGAGGCCCTCGATGGCATCCCCGGCAGTAGGGTCTGCCACAATCAACAATGATATCAGGCTTGTCACAGTCGGGCGAGTGCCATCGCGTCATCTTTCCTCGAAGGCATGCGCTGCTACCCAGAACAGATTTAGCGGTGAATAGCCATATGAGTCGCGAACGAAGAACGTGTCGTTCGATCCTAACAGTGACAAGGAAGTTTAGGTAGCAGCGTAAGGCCAAGGGAATTCATCTGCCGGGTTTCCTGACACCTCTCTGAAAATAGATGCCGAGATGCCTAGTCGGCGATCGGGTGGCGGGTGTAGCCGATTGTTTGGGGGGACCTGATTGGGCCCTCTGTATGCTGCTCAGGGAGTGCTCAGGTTGTGCTCAGTTGTGCCCAGTGATGCTAAGCCAACGGCTCAGTTGATGGTCAGGTTAAAGCGGCCTTCGCTCACCCTCTCTCCCCTGCAGCCGGTTTGGCACCGCGTTCTCTAACCACGGACTTTATGCAGAATACCGGCTATCTTTGGGGCTGGAACACAAGAGTCGGCCCTTTCATGTCTCGCAACCTCAGTAACTGCCTCAGCAGAGCTGTAGCCAACGCTTAAATGGGACCCCTGAGCCCAAACTGGCTTTCTGCGAATGAGCATCGAGCATCAGGTAGCTTTCCCTGTAGCTCGCTTAATGCTCTGGCGCCCTCCCCCGTACTCTACCGTGGCTCCCTCGACGCCCTCTCGTGCCCGGCCGGGCCTCCTCTATTGCTCCGTCACGTGCCCGACTAAAGCGGCCTCGCTCCCTTTCCTGAACGAAAATGGTAAGGAATAAAGTACAGTTCGGGGCATATATAATACACACCCCGAACTGTGCTTCTTCCATTACTATTTTCGTTCAGCCTTAGGGGCGCCCTTTAGGACTCGGCCACAGTTGCCCGGCTGTATCCCCTCGTTTCTTTCAGCTAAGCTTACTGCCCCGGCAACTTTCAATCCTTTCATCACTTGACCTGATCCTGGCGCTGACATCTACAAAACGCCGGAAAGGGCCCCACTTTGTAGACAGCACAATACTAAGAGACTGGACTGAAAGAGAAGAAAAAGGCAAGGACCTGGTCCTGACATCGACAGGGCCTCAAGATCATGAGCAGACTAGCATAATTAAACACGTCCATGCGTCTAATACCGACTTTGATCAACCCAACCCAGCTCAACGAGTTCAGTACCCCTAGAAGTCGTACAATCTGTCTCGTAGGAAATCGTCCTCTTCAACGTGTTTCGGCGAAACGATCATGAACACCGATCATTTGGGGGGAGGGAGCCTCTCAACGAAAAATTCTCGCCGTCGCCCCCAAAGCGGTTTCAAAAAGCTAGGCCCCTATTTTGCTGAGAAGAGCCTCGTTCCCTTTCGCAGTACCAACATGAAACCGGCAATTCCTCACCTGGTGAAAAGTCCCCGGGTCTGGAGCTGGGGCCACTGATTCCGAACCCGCCGAGCTTGCTTTCCAATACGGTACAGATGAAATCGACGCCGATTTCGAGCGCGCGATCAGCGAGCTTCTTCCATGCTGGGTTGATCGGTCCCGGGCCGGCCGACGATCCGTAGTCATTGGTCCGCCTGTTGCCTTGCGGCTCAGGTTGACGTGGTGGTTGGTCTTGTGGCGTATTCTCCCTTGACTGATTGTCCTACGGTCCATTGTATGCGTTTGGCGAAGCTCTGAAACGCTTTGCCGCAGAAGTGAGATGCAGTCCGTTCTTTCTTCCATCCAGCTCCGTGAGGAGCATGACCTACTTAGGCCTTGCGATCTACCGCCATCCCGACCGGTGGGGCTAGAGCAGTACTCCTCCTCGTGTTGATATGCGAGCACGCCCTTGTCAATTGTTAGGCACATGCAGATATGCGAGCATCAACGGACATTTGGGCGCCGGTAGGTGACGCGTCAACTGTGTTCAAGCATGCAAGAAGGTCGGCTGACTGTCCTCGCAGCACAATCCCGGTGCGACGACTTGGAGGCACTAGGGTACATGCAGGTGTATTTCATGCGTGGGAGACTTCCTTGGCAAGGTCTCAAAGCGAAGTGGGATGCCCAATACCTGCTGGTTTTGGAGAAAAAGCAGGCGACCAGTGCCAGCGAATTCTGTGCGGGCCTACCAACCAAGTTCGTGGACTACTTCGACTATGTGCATAATTTGCCTGATGAGGATTCTACTCATCAGGCTGGATAGGAAAATTAGAGTGTGTCGTAATGTCATGAATGGGTGGATATTGGACGGACTTCTTGAGGCGTAGTATACCAAGGGAACCTTCAGCGTTAGGCGCTGTGACGGGAGAGTGGTGCGATAACGAACCGCCTCAGAAGCACTACTAAAGTGAGTAGTGAATAGCTTTTGATGGTCTCTGCAGCTTATAATATTTAGATCCTGCAGATTTGGGTGCGGTAAATCACACCGGACAAGACTGGAACGGGCGCAGTATTTGATTGCGGCGCTGATTGGTAGGCTAAGTGAGGCTTAGCCAGGGCCTACTTCAACATGACCAACGTTTAGAAGCATGCATCCTCCTTTTCTCAAACGTCGGCCCCCATCCAGTACTGTATACTTTTTCTCTTCCATAGTCGGGCTGCCCGAATGTCCCTCTGGCGTACCGCATCATGTCAACTCCAGTGGTTGTTGACATTGTGACATATTTTTATCCGATTGGGAACACACCTGCCGTCCACTTGACTCGAGGTCTTCCATACAAGCAGCCTGCCAATATTCTGCTTTTAGGGTGTGGCGACGTGCGTAACGTCTTGTTTACGGTCTATTCCGACCAGCGCTCTGGTGCGCAGAGTCCATCCTGCGGGTTCCTCGCCGTCCACTGATGTACTGCCAGGCCGGAAACTGGACGTGACGTGCTGTGACATTGAGCCCGCCGTCATCGGTGTGCCTCGCTTCTTCCTCACTGGCGTGGTTTGCTAACGAGGTCAAATTCAGCGCGCAACATCTTGTTGCTTACTCTTCTTTTAGACGACGTCGACGGGTCCAATGACGCTTCCATATGGAACATATACTATCACCTCTGTCTAGACAGCAATGCCTTAGAGTTGCTAGGGACCCAAGCGACAAAACTACACGAACTGGCGGCTTCAATGCAGAGCTGGCATGGCGGGCAATATGGCCGAAAATTCAGATTTTGCGACGAGGGGACCCTAACGAAGGTGAGGAATATCTGGGACACTTACCGCTTCACACGTTTGAATCGAGACGACCGAGAACGTTTTCTCGAACGCTCAAAAGCAGCAATGCAGAGGGCCATGGAAAGCCGAGCTTATCACCTCGGTGGCACCAGTTCTGTCATATCGGGCCTTCGATCTGCAGCTCCCGCCAGCACCGGTGCCATTCATGATGCCCCCAAGCTTCATCAACACTATTGGGACCACGGCAGCACCGACAGGGAGGGAAACGACTCGCGCAGAACTGACACTCCCAACCCGATGTTTGTGACGGACAGGTCCACGCTCCACTACGGCACCGACCCATTACTGGGTTTTCACCTTGCGACGGCCTATACCCCACTCACCGAACAGTCACCGTTTCATTCCGAGGCAATGACGCATGATTCTTCCTGCTTCAGGGTTGTCGAGGCAGCACAGCTTCAGTTTCGATCCTGGGCAAGGTCGCTCAGACAGTACCCTGTCTCTTGTCTTACAATACGCTTTTTCGCAGGCGACGCCATCTCCTTTCTATACGCGCTGCAGCAAAAGAAAATCACCCGAAGCGAGAGGGCCGCGGGCGTGTACCGCGATCCCTATCACGCGGAGCCGCTAGTCCTAGATGGCGAGGAATACACGGACTCTACTCGAGCACCGCTCACATTCGGCGTGATTGACACGTCGAACCTCATTGACCACGTAGGCGCTTTGAACCTCCTTGTGGCCGCCACGCCGTTATTGGATGAGGGACGCTCAGCCAGCCTATACACCGAATCGCTAGTAAAGCAAGAGAAAACACATACGGCGTACATTGACAACCTTCTCAAGGGCCACTTCCCAACCATCTCGACGTTGTTAGGCCTCTTCCCAGTCGAGTACTGGACTAATGCTTCGGCTTCTTCGGCGATGGGCGACCTGATGATGGACTCGAGCTTTATCGGGGCCGGTGACGATATCAGACGCGGACAGATGCATGTCAGACTAACATGGAAGCAGATCATTCCCGAACAGACATCAGCATCAGCATCACCCGCAGGGAAAGGCCGTCTCCTTCGAGTCGATGAGAGTGGGTGCGCCAGGATCCTCCATGATGTGTATCTCCACATGTTTCAGCACGAGAACATGCAGCGGCTGTTCTCGGACATCAACGTGCACACCATATCGAATAGTTCGCTCCCGCGCTATCACCGCGGAAGTTATGCTCTGTTTCTACGGTTTGTGCGCAGTAGGGTCGCCGCGGACTGGGACAAAGTCATGGACCATCTCTTGAGGCTTATCGAGACTGACTCTAGTCTCTTAATGGGAATGAATTATATCCAGGAGCTGTATCTGTACCTCCACATTTTCAAAGTGTATTCCGTGGGCACTTTCTCGGGCCCGGTCAAACAACCCTCCACCGCCGTCACAAAAGGATTGGAGAGCTGGAACGGCATTCCACCGGTCATTTGCGTCACATTAAAGGTACCCAGGGAAAGACTCAGAGCGATAACAAGTCTCAAGCCCGCCGAAATTGGCACGCCAATCGTTCACTGTGTCATTCAGTCCTCCCCGGCGTCGAGGTCTCGACGGTGGCAAAATATCTTCTCTGCCGTCCAGCTTTCTTTTGGAGACATCTCCACGACTGGTGAGAGGCACAGTGACGCCTTCAGCCTCCATATTGTGGACGACGGCCTGAAATGGAACGGCAGTTCTGCCCTCTTCGTCTCGTTCCGGGCTCCGACATGGATGTTATTGATCGAACCCCGAACTGCATCAATAGCCTTTGGAATCCAGAGTACGCCACAAAGTTCAAGGACGTTCACAAAGCTTCTTGGTGTTGAAATGAATATTTACAAAACCAACTTAGGAGATGAAGAAAACGTCTTCATGACCCAAGATCCACCAAACCAGCCAGAGTCTGCTTCCCTTTGCGCCCTCCCGAACGGTGATTCAGGAGACTCGCCTCCCCAGGGCCAGGTTGCGCGCACCGTGATCACTGCAAATGTCAACTCTAATGCTCCGAGGATCGCAGCTCTAACGGGGCGTCTTGAACTCCTTTCGGAGGACGTCAAGGCGGCGATGAAAAGTGGAAGTAAGGTTGAGTGTGTTCAGGTATCTCCATGCACCGTCATCGCGACAGGGCTGATGGCCTCGCCGATCATTCTCGAATTTCCCTCTCCCGTCCTTGATTCGAGGAGCAAAATTAGGATTGCAAGAAAATCTTCATACGTCGAAGTAGAAGCACCACTGGCCAGCGGAGCGGACTGGAAATGCTTCCCGTCATTCATCCATCCCATTTACCCAACACCCGGGCCACCCGTGGTATGGAATACGCCTTACACGAATTTGGAATGCCTGCCCACCATCAATACGTCAAGGAAAAAGGGAATCCAATGGCTCGTGACGCATTCCTCTTGTATGTTCAGCAGCACAGAGCGCGAGTTGAGAGACACTCCGATGCTCGCAGATCGGGACAAAGACGTGCGAGTTCGATTTAAAGACTCCCTATTTTCACTTCTTATGCACTTTTCCGGCTTGCAGGGTGAACAAGCCCAACTGTTTGGCCTTAACGACCCTACCGGTGGAGGGATACACATTCTGATTTTCGTCGCTAGCCTCAAACTGGACATTGCCAACCAAACGGTCGTTCTGGACTCGGCAATATTACCACTGACCAACAGCCTGATGCCGAGACTCAGTTCATTCTTAGGAGCGCTTTCGACTATGCGGTTATGCAGTATCAAGGCGGACGCCGTGGAATTGAAGCTGTGGAGACAGGTGCTGCCGGCGATGGTCGAACGATGCCGGACATGGGAGCATCGTCCTGACTGTGAGTATCTGACAGAATCGCGCATTCCCTTGTCCTTGGAGAACGGCCAGCCGCTCCTGTGCTCCTGTGGAAGCGGCCAGCTGCCGAAAGCGTTCCTCACGGGCGTGCCGCATTGGGGTTCAGTGTCGAAATACTTTGTTCGGGCAGCGTTGTCTCCGTGCTTCCCAGCTCCCTTTAGTGAGAAACTTTTCGATTTCAGCAAGATCAACAAAGCCAATACCTTCCCTCACAACGGTAGCAGATGCAGAGTCTGTGGAAAAACTGAATCCAGGCCTGGAGTGGGCTTGTTGACGTGTGTGCGATGCCACAACGCGAAATACTGCTCGAAGGAATGTCAACGGACAGATTGGAAGAACCACAAGCCTAACTGCAGAAGTTAGCACGCAGAAAGATTGTGGTGATCGTCACCCAGGCGCAAGTGACGGGATACAAGGAAGTAGGGAATGGTGTGGAATACATCTTACAAGTTGTTTGGTGGAAAAGCTATGTCTTGGCTTTGTTGAGGAATTTCAGTCATTTTAAATTTCCTCGGGCGTCAAAGAGATGCTTATTCTCCATCATACCCCAGCTCTATGGAATGAGATTCTCCATGATCAGCTAAATAACGTCACAAGGGAGAGTGGATATGGGTCTGAATCACCATACATGCCGTGTTCCATATATCAACACTATGTGACCAGCCCGTTTGCATAATGATCTCAGGCGCTTTGTAGATCTCTGGCTGTATCTCTTCATATGGATAAGAACCTCCGATCCGAGCCTCGCCAAAGTCACACAGGATAGGGGAACCCCATCTGTGGTGTTTTGGGCGCCGAAAAGATCGTTCGTCGTTCACAATTTTACGCGGACATGGATGTTTACGCTCAGCCTCTTCAAAGTCCGTAAGTATGCTCTTATCCTGGATGGCCAACATGAGGTTACTCAGCTTGATGTCTAAGACATAGCTAAGTAATTGCTGCGCTATGTCTAGTTAAGGTACCGCAGTGTGTGATATTGGCTTCTCTGTGGAGAAAATCTAGGGCCTGGAGCAGATACCGAAGCAACCCCTTGACCATGTCCTGCGGGAAAGTCGTAGACGTTCCTCCAAGTCTTTGTAGATCCCAAAGAGTTATTTGTAGTAGTGGGTGAACCAGGCAGTGATGGCGATTTCCATTCGGTCGTATGAGTTCGAAGAAGTCAAGGAGTTGCTGCACGTGTTCAAGTCCGGCGTGCGATGTGCGCAA